TCTCTCTCTCTCTCTCTCTCTCTCTCTCTCTCTCCCCCTCACTTTTTTTTTTTTTTTTAACAATCCAGTCATTATCCCTTTTCCAGTCTGTCCTCTGTCAGTTCCTCATCCCATTCCTTCCCCCCACTCCAGTCTCCAAGAAGATGTCTCCACCCCACCCCAATCCCGCCAGACCTCCCCAGCTCCTGGGGCCTCAAGGCTCTTGAGGATTAGGTGCATCTTCTCTCCCTGAGGTCAGATCACACAGTCCTCTGCTGTGTATTTGTCAGGGGGCCTCCAACCAGCCTGGTATGTTGCCTGATTGGTGGCTCAGTGTCTGAGAGATCTTGGAGATCCAGGTTAGTTGAGATTGCTGGTCTTCCTATGGGTTGAGCCTTCTCCACAACTTCCAACCTTTCCCTAATTCAACCATAGGGGTCATAAGCTTCTGTCCATTGGTTGGGTGTAAGTATCTACATCTGTCTCAGTCAGCTGCTTGTTGGGACTCTCAGAAGACATCCATACTAGGCTCCTGTCTGTAAGTACACCATAACGTCAGTAATAGTGTCACTCCTTGGAGCCATACCTTGAGATGGATCCCCTTGAGATGGGCCAGTTACTGGACCTCCTATCCCTCAGTCTCTTATCCATTTTTGTCCCTGAAGTTGTTTTAGACAGGAACAATTCTGGGTCAGAGTGTTTGACTGTGGATGGGATGTCAACCCCATCTCTTTACTTGATACCGTCTTTCTACTGAAGGTGGACTCTACAAATTCTTTCTCTCCACTGTTGGGAATTTCATCTAAGGTCCCTCCCTTTCAATTATGAGAGTCTCTTACCTCCCAGGTCTCTGGTAAACTCTAGAGAGTCCTCCAACCCCACTTCCTGAGGTTGACTGTTCCCATTTATTCTGAGTGAACCCCTGAGGATACTCATCATTCATTCATTCATTCATATATATATATATATATATATATATATATATATATGATTTATTTATTTCAAATTGTAATTTATACTCATTCACACAGGAGTTATAAACACAAAAAGGCAGGACGTGGGGAAGGGTATGACACTGGAGCATGGGTTTTCAAGGGGAATACAGATATCTTTCAGAACAGGGTATCAGCTGGGTGAGGGTTCAGGGATAGGTCAGTATGACTCTGCCTATGATTCACTTGTCCTTATCTAAGTTGGTATTGTCTGCCAAGGCTACCTATTTACAAGGTCTATGACTACTCAGGCTGGTAAATTGTCACAAAAACTGCCTGTTTACAATAGCTTATAACCATCTGTTTCAGTGATTATCCACAGAGACCCAAGACTTGGTGTTAGTATACATGTATGACAGGCCTATTGCTGATTTTAGGCCTATGGCTGATTTTAGGCCTTCAGTGTGTAGGCAGGGATGCCCCTAACATCTCCTCCCTTCTCTAAGTATAGACGGGCTGTGGCGATTCTAATCTTGCGAAGGCAGGGATAGAGGCCTGACCTCCAGTAATTGAAGGGGACCTTGTAATGGCTCCAGTCCCACTGTCGTTGTCCAGTGAGGCATGAGGGTCATACCCGTCCCGATGTCTTTTTCCTGGAGAGGGGATACTTTTGACATCAACCCCTATGCAGTCAGGCTTGTCCCTCAGGGAACCCAGATAGATATTTTTAACTTTTATTGATATTCCCTTGCAGTGCTTAGCCTCGAAGCCTGAGCAAGAATTCAGGTTGCCTGTCAGAGGGGGTTCTGGGTGGCCCCTCTCTACTTGGTCTTGGGGTAGAAGTCCCCTCTTTTAGGTTGGGTGGAGATGGTTTTTGGAAACACCCTGTATAAAGTAACAACCTCATCTTGAGTCTCGTGGTCCTCCATAGCTAACTTATGATAATGTATCTGAATAGGTTTTGC